TGAAAATAAATGAATTTTCTGGAATAAATTTCATTTATTTTCAAATTTATTAAAATTCTAATTGAGATAATCGGAATTCTGATACAATATTTCTGGTAAAATCTACTGGAATTCTTATTTTTACCAAAATAATTATATCAATCAGAATTCTAGTAATCTCAATTAGAATTTTAATAGATTTAAATAGAAAAATTCTGATTCATTAATTTTTTTCAACAGAATTACTATTTAATCCAACCAGACCATTTTTTTTTCCGTCTATACATTTTTCATCGAAAGAAATAAAGACGAACTAAATTTCATTAAATGAATAATTTTTTCTCAGTGTAAAAATGGCCCTTTAAAAATGATCTTTAATAAAGGTTGTGCATTGGACTACACCATGTCGATATTATGGACCCTTTTCAAAGTGTACGATCGTGTTCGCCATTATACTCACAAACGCAAGCGCTTCGCGTCTCGTATTACCATCACACTTCGTGTCATGCATATTTTCTCTCTCCCGCATCTCGTATTCTTTTCACATTCCTCGAACATTGTTATTAAGCAATATCCAGACTATCAGTCATTAAGTCTGTTTTTTATAGCTGTATACAGTCTTCGTACTTGATTGTATTTTATAACTAGTGTACATTCACGGTTGCCACAGAAAATGAATTTTGAAATTGTCTGACTTTTCCAGATTTTCCAAATGGAAAATTTCCAGATGGAAAATTTTCCATGACTAATTTGTAGAAAAGCTAATCTATATTATTAAAAACAACGCAAAAAAAGCTTAGTAGCATAATAAAGCAAAAAATAAATTAGTTTTGGAAAAAAGAATGCAGTTATGACGAAAAAGAAGAATCAAATAAAAATAATATATGAATTTTAATTATTTTATTAAAATCGTCTAAAATGGACAAGTTTTGAACGTATTTGACTAAACATCAGATATATTTAAAAAATTACAACTATTACTTGTAATAGAAGCAGTTTAAGGAAATTGCGAGCAAATTTCGAAATTCCAGACTTTTTTACATTTTCTCCTGACTTTTCCTGGTTTTCCATGACCAATTTTAATTTCTCTGATTTTTTCCGATTTTCCAGGTCTGTGGTAACATCAACATTCTTTATATTTAAAATGAAATAAGCATAGATACTTTCTAAAATTGTTGGAATAGAACCTAATTCTAAAGAGTAACAAAGAATGACAATTGAGCCAATGTTGAAAAAGAGTGACTCAATTGTCAATTTTTTTAAAAGCGAGATTTCACTCTTTAAAGTTACATTCCACTCCAAAACTTGTAGAGAGTACATTTAATATTTGACAAAAGCGAGAAGAAAAGTTCTAATGCAATCCAATGCAATAAAAAACAACGTGACTCTATCAATTTTTATCCATATGGCAATTAATCTTTTATATATTTAATTAATTTTATATATTTAATCTTTTATATATATTTAATTAAATTTTTAGTAATTAATATATTTTTGTAAATTATACGTGACTGAAGAAGACTTCGTAAAGTCGAAATTAGTTTTGTTCAATTTTTAATATATCTAACACATTAATATAATTAATAATTTATATCCTTTATTATTAGTTTGTCATAATTAGCCGTCTCTCAACAGAGTGTATGATATGAATAAAAATACACCTAATCTATTATTCTATCTATCTATTTGCAGGACCTCGTATCATCAGAAATTTCATTTCGATAATACTTAGAAGTGATATTTTGCAGAACGAGGACAACGAATTTTTCGGCAGAAATGCACAGCAACGTTTCGGAAGTCGGTCAAACGGAGTTAAGCGTCCTCGTCGTTGTCGTTATCGTTGAGCAAATATTGATTCGAGTTGTTTCGAGTTGTTTGACGTTGTCAACTGAAATCGCACACTACTCTGCAATTAACTAGTCTGTTATCGAGCGGCTGGGAAACTCGAGGGGTTAATTAGGGGTGATAAACCCACAACTGCGGTTCCATGACTCTCGCGCGCGTGCTTCAACCAGTCGATAAATTTCGATCGTCCGCAATTCTCATCGTCCCGAGCATTGTCCGTGCGTCACACCGTCACGCATTGTTGTATCAGCCGCGTAATAATTCGTGCAGTAAACAGACCGCTCCGCCAGCCTTTCGCGTGGCAATTTTGCAGAAAATTGCGACCTATTCAAACCGCGCGTTTTAACAATCTGTACCGTTCCGTTCGCGTCTATGTATAAATTACGGGAAAGAACCTTCCCTTTCCGCCGTTCGGAAAAGGGCAAAGAAAATAGAATTCCGGACAATTGCGCGCATCGTACCCTCGCGGAATAATAAACAACCCGTTCAATCTTTATCTCCCCGACGATGAGAAAGCCGGCGATCAGAGAGAGCCGCACGTTTTCTGGCAGCGAGACGGAATCCTCGATGACACGATAAAAAAAAAAGACCGCGCTGGAATTCCCGTTCAAAATCAATAAAGTTACCCCTACCAATCCCCGCGGAATCGAAATAAAACGACTTGGCGATGTCGCCGAGTGGCGGTGCCGTGTCTTCCGTCCCCCGTTTGAGGGAGGAGTGAAGGTAAAGGAGATCTCCTGACTCTCTTGCGTCGGTTGCTTTTATTATAAAATACGAAGGGCAATTTTCATGTTTTTCTTCTTGTGAATCAAATTATTCAGGTATATAAATTTTGATTGATCGCCAAACAAAACCATCAGTTCGGATTTTTTCTCAATTGTTGCGCTTTTTTTTCTCGTCTCGATACATCGCTTAAAAAAGTTTAAAGCTCGCTGTACATAAAATGTAAAATGAAACATTTTTCCTGATTGATTATAAAAGCTCGTTGGGTACCCCTTTTTGATATAACATCGTGTTACGAAATCCGATTGTTCCAACTCTCCCTTCCTCTCAAGCAATACGTTTAAATGTATTACCTGACGAGGCAGTTAACTAAACTCTAATAGACTAATTATCTCGGCTGCTCTTCACCGGGGAGGGGCTGACGAAATTACGAATAAGTTTTCAGCAAATTACCAAACAACATTATTCCGCGCGTTGCGCGAATATACAGACGCTACATGGAATTTGTTAAATTCGCTCGCAACCGAATAATAATGGCAATAGTGGAGAAATACAGTAAATACAGTAAATACAGTAAATAAAATTCTCGTGGCTTAACATACTCTGATTAAACTTAATTAACCGGTATGCACCACTGCAACAGTATACCAATTAAAAACTATAAAGGGAAATAACGCTTTATAAAACATTTTTATTTATTATGTTGTAATTTCACTTTACATATAATTACTGTTTTATACATGATTATTGTTTCATTTGATTTCATTCGTTTTTCCATTTGATTCGTGTTAATAATTGAAATATCGAGAAGAATAATTCAAGGTAATAAAAGTTATAAAAATTTATTTAATTACAAAATAACACGCAGGGTTGCTACAGAAAATAAATTTTAAAATTTCTTGACTTTTTCAGGTTTTTTTTAGATGAAAATGGAAAATTTTTCAATATAAAATATGTAAATTTTAACACATTTAAAGTCAAGAATTGTGGAAAGCTAGCATATATTATTAAAAACAATGCAAAAAAGGTTTAGCACACTAAAATTTTGCAAATTCAAGCCAACAAAAAATAAATTAGTATTGGAAAAAAGACGCAGTTATGAAAAAAGACGATCAAATATTGAATAAAATATAAATTTTAATTATTTTATTAAAATAGTTTAAAGTGTGAGTTTTGAACGTATTTCACTATAAATGTCAGATATAATATTAAAAAATTATAACAATTATCTAGAATAGGAGCAGTTTAAGGAAATTGTGAGCAAATTTCAAAATTCCAGACTTTTTTACTTTTCCCGGTTTTCCAGGTCAAGTAATCCTGAACACGGTATCCTAAAACAACGCGCACGTCATTTTCCAAATTTTCCAAATTTGTCACTGATTTTTCAAATATTTTAAATTATTAGTTGAGCCAAAAAAAAAAGGAGAAAATAACGGCATTCCAATTCGAGCACTCGTTGATTCAGACAAGACAAAAGCTCGGTCGATCGGCTATATTCGGTTTTATTTCTCTATGAACGCGAAAACGTAACAAGCCACTTGGCCACGTTGCATATTTCAGAATGGGCCAACTAGTGCTCAGCCAGACAGTGTGCCAAGTCCTTCATTGGAAAATGGACGAGTATGGTGTTCGTTATGTAAAATCCAAACCACAACGTCGGAAAGATCGCTAATTAAAGAGGACTCAATTGTCGTTCCATCGAGCTACGTCACTTTGTTGCCATTCCCAAAAGAGAGAGGAACAAAACAATCTCTCTCTCTCTCTCTCTCTCTCTCTCTCTCTCTCTCTCTCTCTCTCTCGATAGAAATCTTGAAATATCAATAATTTGTGTATCCTTCGCAGCGGAAATATATGTGATATTCGAAGTATCTGTCCGAGAAATTTTCGTTTCAATATACGAGTCGCGAAAGTTCCCTTGTGCCCATAATTAAACTGAGAGAGTTTAAATACATTATACACAAGCTCACCTCAAAGTTTCGAGCTCTCTGTCTCTCACTTCATTAATAAGTTAATACACGTTTTAAAGTCCATAAACCGATCTCAGTGTTTGCATGCACGGAGGCAAAACTTGACGATCGCCGATGAATTGTTAATAAAATAAAAGCACCGTGAGAGCCCGAAGGATGGGCTGGATTTACCTCCAAACTGTTGGCGTCACTACTTTGATATTGTATCAATTGATAAATTAAATATCCGATACTGGATAAGCTGACATATAGTTTGAAAATATAAAAGGATTTCAGCAACGAGAACATCTTTTGTTCTTGCTTAATTTCTCTTCATTCTTACGTTCTCATACTCGTTTTGTATTTCCAATGCGCCAATTTTTTCATGCAAAATTATATAAACGCAATAATATGCTGCGAAATATGCTTGCGTCAACTGTTTCGCCAAGAAAATGCGTTATGTCGTCTTTAATCACGAGTCATAATTATCGAGAATGAATGACTCACCTCACGGAGCTCCTTGATTTTCAGACCTGCTTTACCGATGATGCATCCCGCTTGACTCTGATGCACCAGCATGCGCACGTCGATCTCGTCGCTGCCATGGCGGGAACCATTCTGAAATCGTGTCTACAATAAATCGTGGAAATTTGGAATATGCTACATCTATGGCAGAAAGAATCGATCGTCGCGATCCCGAGAGTCGCGATCCCACTGGAGAGGAGCATGAAAGCGCGCGGAATCGCATACGAACGATTCGAAAGAGACAGATAAAGCATGTTAGAAATCGCTTCGAGATCTCGAACAAAGAATGAATTGATCAAATCAAATAGCCGAATTGTTCAAATGTTAATTTTTTTCCGTCCGAGATCTCGGAACGATTTCTAGCATTGTGTACTCTAAAAAATATCCCTGTGGATTTAATATCATATAATTTATATAATTCTCATCTCTCGTGGTGTTATTAATATTAACACTAATAATTAGTGTTTATATCAATACCATCACAATGTGAATTTAGAACCCATTTGGTATTAAATTCACATCATGGTGTTAATATTAATACCAACACAGTGAGAATCATACAAGGTGCTCTTCATTTGATGATACAAGTCGACACAAGCGTCATTCTATCCTTCTTGACATTCAGAAAGTGAGTCACAAAGTCACAAAGATAAAACGACACTTGTGTCGATTCGTGTCATCAAATGGAAAATACGCACAGGCACCCATGATGTTAAATCCACAACGATTATTTTTTAGAGTGCAGATACAAGGCTTTAGGACAGAAGTCCAACACTTACCTCCTCCAGATTAGGTACGACCTCGTTCAACACTTGCAAAACAGTGGGCAGGTCCGAGCTGATGGTGAGTACCCTAGAATCAGAAGGACCCCCAGAATTACACTGATCTTACCGATGCGTGATTTCGCGTATGTGCTATATCGACCATACAACCCGGTGCGAATGGCGTATGTGCGTACGAGAAACGCGTTCGCGTGTGATTACATCAACCAGCGATGCCACCCCCTCCCCTCTTCCCGTCCTCCCTTTTTCTCGCGGGTATTTCGGCGTCACCCGTTAGAGCGCTTCGAATGGAGTCAAAGTGAGTGAGGCATCGGATGAAATTCCAACGCGTCCCCCCAATGGAGTAGAAAGTAATTAAATGCGCAGGTCGATCGGAGCTGGATGTATGTACGGTGCATCGCATTTAGTCTCAGCGACGTTTACGAATGTTTATTGTATCCCGAGCGTCTCTACTCCGTCGTTGCACTTGAATCCGATAGAATTATACCGGCAACACGACCCTCAATGGCACATAACGTCGCGTATGATGATAACGTATTGCGTATTAAAACCTGTACAATACAAATTTAACCGCACGTCGCGCTCGATATTCATCATCGGTGCGCGCGACTAATGCTGTTGCGATACAAGATTGATTTTTAAACGCGGACGCGCAACCACCGAGTGGTTAACACCTTTCTCTATCAAGCAACTGTTGAACACGCACAGTAGATTTTCGGGTAAATGAACTTTATCGAAACATCTCCATAAATCTTTAACCGCGCGACAAATCCGGATCATTCCGAGGACACCTCGTGTCGCGAAACGTTTCGCAAAAATTACGAGTGTTACTAGGGCGGCGTTAAGGGAATTCAAATTTACTACGTTATTCTCGGTAAATTCGGTCTCCGAATACGACGCGTATTCCAGCAATTCCGCCGCCACATATGTACAAGAATCGTCGATGCAGCTTGCGAGAAGACTACGTAGAATCGCGTGCAATCGCGGCCACGGCGATCGACCATAAGCTCGGACTAGATTCGGCCTCACGGTATTTTCTCGACCTACATCCATTCAGCTGCAATCGTACCGTACGATCGGAATGATCGCGTTTACGGTCGTCCTCACCGGGGCGAATTATATGTCGCGGAAAACACCCGCAGTAATACGCACGCGGTACCAATTCCGTTGACAGAAATCGATATCGAGCTGCTTCTTTTCCGGCCGAAACGTCGCCGCTCGGCGACGAGAAAACGACGATATACAGGAACAGGGAAATCCCGAACATCGTCTCCATTCTCTTTTTAAATCATTCTCATAAAAAAACATACATAGAAAGAACGATTTTCCTAAAGTATCTAAAAATTTAGCTAGAATTCTAAAAATAATTTTGTTGGGCTATCATATCATCAATTATTCTCTAAATCTGAATCATAGTTACTAATTACCTAGTGACATATTTGGCACTGATCAGTAAAATTCAATTAAAAAAGGAAGAATATTTGAGCCTTATGTAAAATACTGATATTTACATATTTGAATTTTCCAATATCATTCATTGAATATAAGTACTAAAACAAGGTTAGTTAGATCACGTAATAAAGAGCTAGATTAGAGATCTCATATTTAATTCACTGATATCAGTGATTATCCACTGATTCAGATTTAGAGAATAATTAATATGTAGGACGTGCAACATCGTTAAATGTCAAATTATACCTAATTCGAGTTATTTTTAATCATTTCTATAAGTCATCACCATTTCTATTTAAAAAGGGTCGTTAATTTAATTAAAACCATGAAGTTAAATAAATATAACTTAAGAAGTATATTAAATTTGACTCAAATTTAGTTAATTATTTACTATCCATATATTAATACGAACATTATATTTACTTTGACGTTATTTAATTTTACTTACTAAGTAATTCAATTATATGTAGAAATGATTGATCTATTATATATTTTATCAAATATGAAGTTACGAATGATCAAATGTTATTTAAAAAAAATCTGACATTCTAGCGACCAATTCGAACGTCCTATATATTTATATTGACAATCTAACAAAATTATTTCTATATCTGGATCTAGGTAAATTTTTAGATATACTTTAGCAAAACTAACTCTTTCTGTATACAATTTATTTCAACGATCCGAAAGTTTCAAAGTCGCTGCACTGCTGCAAAGTAATTTGTTTCTCTCAAATTACGATAATTGCCGTGGAAGATATAAAGTTGATTGATGGTTTACTTGTTTTCTCCTCTTTTATTGATATTCAATACGTTCAAAGTTTTGAAAAAGGAGACGATGGTATTCGGATATCCCTTCTCCCTATGGTTTTAAGAAGCGCACCGAGAATTCCCGTTATCATCTCTCACGATCGAGAACAAACACGAAACTTTTCAGAACGACGACCGGCACGAATCCACCCCCCCAGTTAATATGAGGGAATGGACGGAGAGATCGGTCTCTCCTTTCATCTTTTCGCCCTTCCTCCTCGCTTCTCGTCGTCCACTTCCGTTCTACTTTCCTGCTATAACGAGCTGAAGCCACGTATCTTCCATTCGACTGGCTATATATATCATAGAATTTCCGCATGCGCTCTTTTGAACATTTTACCGATTCTGCGAGGAGAAGCATTCAGCTATTGACTTAATCCACGATTATTCGCGCTCTTTTTGAAAAAAATAATCGCTTCCTTGCACAGCGCGAATTGCGGGGATTTTGGCCAACTTCGTTTCCGCAATCCTATGTATTTGAAAACGCAAATGTTACGTGTTAATTTGTTATTTATTATGTGCGCTCCTAGGAATATCCTAGTCGGCAGATTGGCGGAAGCTGCCATCACCTGTTATGAGTTTCCCTACTTAACCCAGTTTGAGGACAAAACAGGACGGTTACAATTTGATCAACATCGATCGGTTGAAGAAATCCCGATGGTGATCCCGATTAAAGGGAGTCGAGATTGAGACTTGACGTAAGTTGATCGGTACGGTAATTTCTAGAAAAGTAACGATGGAATCACGATGTTATTCATGGTGAGAACAGCTACGGGGTTGGCTGGTCGAAAGTCATCCCTTCGAAAACCGCAGAAGACGAGCATACATTGAGATTCGCGGACGGCGAGTTTAAATTGCTATGTTTGCTGCTGCTCTATGGCAGCGATAGAAAGAAAGAGAACACTATTGGCAGTTAAAAATCTTCATGGCGCATAAAACTTTGAAGAGCGCTCGAACAATTCTAAGGTCTGATGACTGAACGTTTTAAGGGGATGCTAGAGTTTCTTTCGTGTTATATAAAATGTGATTAATTTTCAGATTCTCCAATCTTTTAATTATGTTTACACAGATTTAAAAATCCTTCTTCACAATTAAGTATATAGACAAAAATGCGCAAACAATTTCATATAAAAAACAAAAAAAAATCGAAAAATAATTAATAATTGTAATTTTATCATCGGTATAAAATTTCTGTAGTCGATTCGTGACAACATGTATTGCAAGAGTTTTAAATTTTGTACGTTTGAAATAGGCTAGAATACGCTTAGATCGCATTAGAGATTGTATGAAAGAATAATACACTGAGAAAAATGGTCTGATTGAATTAAATAGTAGTTCTGATAGAAAATAGACGAATCAGAATTTTCTGGTTAAGCCTACTAGAATTCTCATTGAGATAACTAGAATTCTGATTGATATAATTCTGGTAAAAATAAGAATTCTAGTAGATTTTAGCAAAAATATTGTATCAATCAAAATTTTTGTTACCTCAATTAGAATTCTAATAAATTTAACCAGAAAATTCTGATTCGTCCATTTTCAATCAGAAATTGTTTGCAATGTATGTTTGTAGAAATGAATTAAAGGCCTTAATATAAAAGAAAAGAGAATCCCAAAATTTCATTTGTATGCTACGAGTGAAATCGATGTGACTAGTAAAATAAAGCAATTATGTCTAGCAGTAAGTTCCAGATCTTGCAAAAGATGATCGTAATATATAATATTAAAAAATAAAAACAGATGTACGCGTTTGAACGAAATAGAACGATAATATAAGAAACTGAGTTTGGAGTTAAAAATCTGTATTATCGATATCGATCAACCCTCGCTCCAGCATTCCCTTAAAGGCTGCAGAAAGCGTAGAATAAACATATCTCAAGACTTCAACCATCTATGCGTGTCACGATATATCGCCTCGTCGGCAGCAATCGAGTGACAATATCGATTATGCAAAGAAAGAAAATCGCGCGAATATACTAGTATTTTAAAAGAAGCATTTAAACAAGCCGTTAATATTGACTTGAGAATTCTGAAACTTTCTCAAAGTTAGTTTACTTTCATCCGCCTGATTGACGTTGTATCGAGATCGCGGCGATCGTGCGAATTGTTCGTTCTCGACTTCAAGGTACTTTATTACATGCCAGCAAAATTTCCAGCCGTATCGGTACAGCCACGAATGAAAATCGCATTAAGGACATCCTCGAGGAGCTTCACCGTCGGTGATAAAAAAATTTATTGCCGTCCCAGGACGAAGATAAATTTTCCTGCGCGAGCGACATAATTTTTCCTAGAATAAGAGAACGACATCGAACGTACGGCTCGAGGCATGATATATACATATAACGTAATCATCGATAATCAATCGCGATAAAGTAGATGATTGAATGTAACAACCGGTCCACAAATTATCATTAAAATATCTCTTCGACGGGATTCGCATAAACGTATGAAGCGCGCGGCACTGATCTTCACAGTGTGAAGTATCGGTAATGACTTTCGACTTGGCAAATTAATTAATCACGTTAGAGTACTTCCAGTGGGACAATCACTTATTATACGGGGCAGAATATCTAAAGAATGAAGGTATTTTGTTGAAAGAGTGTCGGTTTGAATTGTGAACAGAGTAACGCTCTTGAATAATTAATTAAGACTATCCGAAGTTTAGCTCTCACTTTATGTCTTTGATTCCGATTGAAATCAAACATTTCACGACGTTTCTCGTTCGAGAGCATTACTTGAGAGGTTACAGTTGGCTTTTCAACGCGATAACAACACCTTGAATCGTAACCTTTTAACAGAGTCAGCCTTACGACCGCGTGCGTCACATACCACACATTAGCTTCCGTGTTAGCCACATGTTACAGACACTGTTTAGAACATATCCCGACGTGTGTGTATAAACGTGTGTGGGTGTCGAGTGATCGCGCACGTCTTTTTGCGTGGCACTTAACGCAGGAGAAAACCAACAAATAACAAATTAAACCAGAAAGGGAAGGTGTGAAAGAGAAAAAGAAGTGAGCTTAGAAGATCAGCGAAATTTTCAGAATACGCTGATCATACAAAAAATACTGCACAAATCCCGTTGCACGCGCGAATAATGTTTACATATTCGAAAATTCGAGATAAAAAAAAAAGAATTCGCGAAATATATTCTTCTACGTGTCCTCGCATCACATATTCCTGTAACATTCACAACGGTGAATTTAACTATTAATAACTATCTAATGGCGAAATTTGCGAATGCTCGTTTTTTTTTTCCGTTGCGGGATTAAACAAGATCGAATAAATCGGTTTAAATCGAGTTAAATCGAGTTAAATCAGACCGCGTGCCAACGACAGGTGCAGCACGTGCTGCGTCGACTTTCGCTTAAATCGTAAGACCACCGATTTTTCACCCAAAGCCGAAGCCGCGCAAGGAGCCGCTCTTGAGAGAACGCTTAAATCTAATAGCATATCGACTTTCCAATGTCGATATCGTTCGCGTATTACAAAAAATAGAAATATTTTTACAAGAGTTAAATTTGAAAAACGATTATTGCGTATCATATCGTTCTGAAATGTTCCTCTGTACTTTCAATATATTTCATGCGATGAGACAGTCAAGAGGACACGCACAAGAGACAAAAGATCATGAAAAACGAGAGAGAAAAAGAAACGGCGAGAGAGACGAAAGTAGACGACGGAAGTGTTGACTAAATGATCGCCGCGTTAACACATGATATGCCGATAAAATAAAAAGATGGTGTCACACGAAAAAAACAGATCGATTAATAGAAATAAGACAGATGGACGGACAGACAGAAAGACAGATTTCTAGGCAGAGATAAACAGATAATTAGATAGATAGATAGATAGATAGATAGATAGAAGAGAAAGAGAGAAGAGAGTAGTAGAGTAGTAATAGCACGACAGATTACGAAAGGTGGAAATAGTAGTGGTGTATACAGAAAAAAGATTCGCTGCTCTCGCCGCAGGCGTCTTAACAGGTACCTCGTAATTAGAGACAAAGAAAAATAAGAACATTAAGTAGTTGGTGTTGGTCATTACCGTTCGGGTCCGGGGCAATCGGGTACAATGATTGAGGCTTTGTACTGTCGATTGGGCCGTGGTGGTTGGTGGTTGGTTCATTGGTGGTTGGTTGGTGGTTGTTGTCGATTGTTGGTAGGGTCGTGGTGGTCCATTTGCCGATCGAGTCGGGGTCCGTCGTTCCGGGCAGGGCAACGGCAGGGCAACGGCAGGGCAACGCCAGGGGGGCAACGCCGGGGTTGGGGCGGGGCCAGGGCACAAACCATCAACCAAGTTAGACATCACGTCTGACGGCTGGATTAATTCGCGGCTTAACCTCCTAACCCGATTTTTCCACCCGCGCGCTCCGCTCTCCACGTCCATCCCCTGTGTTCTATGTTTTCTACGTTCCCACCTCCCTACTACTAACCCTTTCTCCCTCCGTTACCGCCATCGGATCAGCCACGAGAGGGCAAGAAAAATATTGGCATGGAAAAAAATGAGAGGTTGAGTAACGTGAATTGCGAGAGAACGGACACCTTATATAACAACTATGCACGCGCGTTTCTTTTTTACATACGATAAGCCTACGACTATTTGATTTAAACTTCAAGTCCGATGAGAAAGTGCTTGCTAATACTTTTACGTTCGTAAGACAATTGGTGAAAATTCGCAAAGTTACGAGCTAGACATCGCGGCTTTTCTCTTCAAGAAAGTGCTTAGTCAACTAGACGCGTACTTGTATCATCTCCGGCAAAGACTACGCGGCCAGTATCGTCGTCCTCTTCCATCTCTTTTCCTCTCTCCCGAAAGTCGTTAAGAATTCTGAAGACGTACTCGAATAATTTTCCTGTCCCGGCGCGGCACTTAATTGACGTCGCTCTACGTACGACAGCGGTCCGAAGAATATTTCAATTGCTAACGAAGTGCGCTAAACGCCGTTAATCAAGCAAGTTTTTAATCTTTAAACGAAGAGGTCTATTAACTATCCCGTGTAACTTGCGAGTGTGCCCGGCACGTAATTGATAACCGTACGGAAAGTTTTATCGACGCGAGCCTGAAACTTTCGTGACGAAGCGTGGACGCCGCGATAGTTTCGCGAGTTTGCGCGAATGAAAATTACTTTGCCGACGTGTAGACAAAAAAAGAATCGTCGCGATCGCAATAGGTAACATCTTCCGATCTCATGTCTCCCCAGAAAATAATTATTATTTATCGATACCCGATATATAATTCATCCGTCCAATTAAAGTTATTTCCATGCACGATTCTCCAATATTTTTCTGCACACGACCGAGGCAGTCAAGCTTTTAACGTCAAGCTTTCTGTCGCCCATGGAAGTTTGCGTAGCGTCCACGTTCGAACGATGGAAACTCCACAAAGCGGCGAGAGGACCTTCGTAAGAAAGAAGGTCCCGTAGAAAGTTGTCAGGAAGGCAACGCGAACTAAAAGTGAATCGCTAAGAGATCCTCTCCGGTGGTTCCCTCGGATACAGCACTCGGGGATAACGACCAGAGCATTGTGCCATTTACCAGGCAAAGTGAACTTGAGACTAGAACTTCCGATATCTCCCGGTACGGCGTATTAAATGATCCTTTCAAGCTATCAGAATTAATTGAATATCCGTTATTATACCGATAATCGTGCCGCTCCATTTGTTCCATTTGTTCCATCCGGTGTAATTTACATTGATTAAAAACAAGACTTGACTAATAATGTAGCTGATGAATCGATTTATTATATTCAAGATCTGTAAAGTTATCTTACGCATTCAATAACGACTGAATAGTTTCAGTTCTCGAATAGTTTCAATAATAATTCGTTTAAGGCACAACTCCTCGTTAATTGCCGCTTCCCAAAGTGCTGTAACCAACTTTTCCGTCTAGGGGGTACGCAGCCGCGTTGGAATCTCGCTATTCTAGCGATACCGTGATTTCGTCTCCGTGCTCTCTCGCGTTTATGAAGACGCCAGAAGACGCAAATCACGGCGCTCATCGAGAGAAAGACGCATTCGTGTGTCAGTGCACTCGAACGTAGGACGTGCGTGTGCACGGAACATTCTCGATGGACCGGACGTCCATCGTGCTTCGCCCGTCGGCGCGGCGTATCAAAACCGTGGCGGAGGTTTTCCGAGTGATTTGCCAAGGCACAAGTACAAATCGTACGATTAAAGCGCGATTTTTACGCGATACCCTATGTCCCTTCCCCAAGAGTGCACTTTTAAACATCGTAGCTTGATACGATAACCGAAATTGCACACTCAAAAATTCTCGCCCTTCTTGAAACGCCCATTATGATTCGGAGAGATGATTAATGCAAGTAATGGAATAGTGTAAACGTATCGCGGAAAATTTATTAGCAATTACGAACACGATACGAAAGATACGGTTACAGTGCCCCTCTCCCCTTCAGCTATTCCAGCGGAGGTGTTTTTTATTCATATTTCATCACGGAATATATCGAGGTTACATTTATGGTGAATTGAAATAACAAATATATGACAAAATCGGCAGACACCTTTCTCGTTTCATAACAAAATTCATTAGTTTCACAGATGGTCGGTATCTGCCGATTTTGCAACGATCAATGAAATTGTGATACTTTGTTACCACATTATTTTAGATTACAGTAAACTAATTAACTAATTAATTGACTATGAATTGATTGCGAGTCATAGCGCTGATAAGATTATTCTAATGCTCGTTTCCACCAATGTACCCACAAAAAGATATCACTGTATTATATATTGCTAAAAAAAAAAAAGAGATTACTTAATTTATTTTCTTCCTTTTAAGAAACGATTATCTTTAATAAAGAATATTTTCTTTATTATAATCTTAAAATATGCTTACTTAATTTTAGGAAAATTATAAATTATTTTATAAATTTATTTTATTTTGAAGGATATTGTAAAATTTATCGAAAAAGCGACTTTATATAATAAAGAAATTGAATTCGTTTTAATTTAATAGTCTTGATTAAATTATTGAACTTATTAGGATTCAAAATACATTCTGAATAAATTTGATACTCGTAATGAATTTAAAGATCTATGAATATACGAACATTTAAAATATTTGAAACAAGTAATTATTATTTACGTACAGAATGTATTTTACTGCGTAGGGATTAACTTTAATCTCAATTCAATTTAATCTTAATCTTTTTCTAATTCTTAGAATTAGAAAAAGAAGAAGAAAAATAATTAAACCGAGATTGAAGTTAATCAACATTAGCGGAAACGAGCACAACTATGCTGAGATACTGCATGTTCATGTACTCATTTGGTTCAAGCAGGGCAACGAATTAAAATATGACCGAGAGATTCTCAACGCGTGGTCGAAACGTTATATTACATTAACGTAAAAATATCGATTATCGCGCAAAGACGAGAGGATTCATCCACGTCGAGATCTCCATTTTTGACATTCCGACGGAAGAATTCTTTCGTCATCAACCATTTACTGCATGCAGAAAATTTCGCGTGTCTTAAAATATGACGCGAGGTAAAATCAAAGCTAGCCAAGGCTTTCTTGCAACTAGGAAGTAATAAATGTCTCATGAAACATTGATATGGGCGTACGGTGAGTTACACGAGAGACGAGGAAAGCATCCCGTCTTTCAAGGAACCAAATGCATAATGAAGCTCGTACGGATACGGAGCGTCTTTGGAAAACGAGACGAGCGCCTAGCGAAACAAATTTTCACGACAAAGCCTTTTGTGCGCGCGGCTCTTTACATAAATTACATGAATCTTCGCGTATCAACCCTTTACCGCTGCTATAATTACATAAACCATAATTATTTTAGTTTCAAACGAAGTTAAAAGGCTCCAAGGAGCTAAAGGGTTAATTACGTTACGGGCACTCGTGTCATCGATCCATAGACAGCGCAGAAGAAAAGTAAGCCGCGTTTTTGATTAATATGGCAATCGACTTGATCGTCGGAAAACTGACAGGCAAAACAAAAATGACTCTCAATCAACTGAAAATCCGATGTAATTAGAATTAAACATAAAAATATAATCAGAAGATCGTAAAAACATGTCGGTTTGTAATACATAAAATGATTTAGAACACGTTTCAGAGATAATTTTTACGATCTACCGTTTGATCGTTTGTATGATTCTTGCCTTTCTATCTCTTTCATGCTTGCTCGTAGCAAGGAGTTTCATGAGAAAATAGACTGACAGGAACGAAACTACAGCGAAGTTACAGACGAATCAAAGCGCAAAAACTTACCTGACTTCTGAGTTTCGTGATATTCTGACCACCCTTGCCGATTATTGAACCAGCAACCTGCAACACAAACAAGATAAAGTTTAACTTAAATAAATAAAACTTTATTATAAGGTTAAGTAAATACCTTCAAAGATATACCTGTTAAAGATATTTTCGAAGAAAAATTGCGGTTCGAAAGAAGTGACAGTAAGTAATGCTTACAAATATTTATTGTCTATACTTCCGTCGGAGAGATTACAGGGTTAGGTATACCCGTATATCTATATCTGGGTGATCTTCTCAGTCTTTGTAACGTTAATTAAACGTATCTCTCATTGAGGGCGTGACTGGCAAGAGTAAATATTTAATGAGCGAAAAATCTAAATGTGAGATAATCCGCCTCGGAACATAAAGAGGATGAAATAAGAAAATTCCATTCTCCCGTCACGATGCTCGTGCATCAACATTTCGCTTTCTCCAGACCCGTCCGATGCCCGTGATAAAAGAAAACCTCACGTCCACTTCTAGTTAGGCTTATAACTTTACTGTAGACTTCCGGCACATGTCCGATGCCCGCACGATCGCCAGTTTCTCGCGAAACTGCAAGATAATTACAACTCGATATGCGATCTACGGATTTTTACGGATTAGTCACGCCATGCACGTTTTATCACGGTCAGTGCGCCACTTTTAACGACAGACTCGCTGTGTTCTGACAGTTAATTAAATAAACTCCACTGCGCGTCTGGCAATTAATACTTTCTCCTCCACGAGAAGGCGCGTCAAGGACGCACCTCGATGCACGCGGCGTATTATGACATAGAAACGCAGGAATGCAGTCATTTTCATCTGGATGACGGCGACGGCGTTCATCCTTCTTTCGAGAAAACACAAATTCACGAACGGAAGAAACGATTCGTGGAACTCCCAAGACACGTTGCACACGTATCATACGAATTCCCAAAGGCAAGTTTCTCCAAGAGCGTGACTAATTATGCGACTTCTTCTGCGAAGGTCGCGGTATCTATCAGTAATATTGTACACAATGCGATCGTCCCTGACACAACACCGTGTACACCAATAACAGGGCGCGATGATATCGTCGATTACATAGCCAAGATTCGACCGCGATCAAGCGCAACGAACGCTCGTTCGTGCTCGGCTGGTTGGATCATAATAAGACGCCTTTGCGACGCCGATTAAATCGCACGCATCGGAGAGCACACACATCACCTTGATGTAACACATACATCGCTCTTATCGTCCATTACGAAATTAAAGGCGCGATCGCCGCATCAGTCCACCAGGGCCGTTCATGATAATGTCACGTGCTGCGGAAGGTCGAGTTTCGCTTGAAAGTCGGACAACACCCCTGACGAGAAAGTGTCAAATTCGCACATTTTCCTGCTGTCTCATTTATCAGAGATAACTATGATAATTAAAGAAAACGCAGCCGAGCTGTAACTTCCTCGTGCACGCGCCGAATATCATTTCACGCGACATTAAGTTTTTTTTTTTTTTTTTTTAACGTTCGCGTGCCGATGGTCGATGACGGCGCGTTTATCTGCGATCCCTCGTGACGATCAGTTATTCCATTCAATTAAGCTTATTAGCGTGCGGGAAGCGCGAACAGTTTACGAGATTATGCTAAGGACAACATCGAGCCAGCATTATTTCGATAACTGACTTTCGTGTTGCAAAACTCGCGAAAATAATCTTCTAACGTGAAAGCTCAAAGCCCTTACACTGTTAAAAATTCCATGAAATTTAATAAACTTTTAAGTTGCACTAAAATTTGAAGTTCATGTTTATTACATTACATTTAAGTAACTACTGTAACTTAATTTTCAGTTAAATCATTCATTACTTTTAATTCATAACGAATTTCATTTAGATATATGTAAAGGAAGCTCGTGATTATATTTATAACAGTATATAAACGTTTTTCCCTACAAAAAGGACGATTTTTTTATTTTGCTAAGTTATCGCGGATCAAATAAAAAAAGAATTTGAGTTTGATTACTTATAAAAAAATTGTGTATCAATGCTGTGAGCGACACAGATCAATGTTAGACGAGATAAAAGTTCGCTACGAACTTTAAAATTCAAGCAGCTATAACTTCATAAAAAATGAACAAAATTTAAATTTCAAAAAAGGATTTTAAAGTTCAAACTCTTCCTACTTTCGAAAACTATGTGTATTTTGAGTTTCTATGAATTTGATAATTTTTACATATAGAGAACTACGAGCTAGACAAAATGGGAAATTTTCTTTTCATTTTGAAAAACTTGTCATGCTCGAAAAAATCTGCGAAAATTTTCGATTTTTTAACGTGAAAAATAAAATTTTCCCTACAAAATCGTTAAAAAAACATTTTTTGTTATTGAATTATCGCGGATTAAACAAAAAAAAGTATTTTGACTTTGATTGCTTATAACTCTGTCAAAAATTATATAGCAATTTTTTTTTTTTTAAACAGGTTCTTAAAACTGAAACTGCTTTATCGAATGGTATAATTATCAATTAAAAAAACACAAACATAATGCAAATAAGAGCGCTAAGAACTTTTGTTCCAATCAATATGAAACTATCGAAGGAAATCGCGGAGAAAGAAATAAGATAGAAAATGTAAGATAGAAAAAATATCATTCCCTATTGGTCGGCTTGTATACAATGTTACGCGATAGAATCTTCGGTATCCTCCTCCGAAAATACATCGAACAAAGGAAGCGTAAGAAAACGAGTCTTTACTGCTCCCTTCAATATTCTCAATGCTACAATCAATCACTACCGAGCGAAAGGAGGTACAGATAGACCTCGATTCACGATATTACTTCTCTCCCGATGCCCTCGAAAGCGGGTAACAGCGGCAACGGCGGTGGCTGCAATCGCGATATTCGCCTGCTGCATCTTATTGTATCGCGGAGGAAATGGTGGCGCAAGAAAATATCCGCCTAGTCGAGAAACATCCGGTCTGACGATATATCGGTAATAAAGATAGAGAATTTACGGTACTAGAAGCAACCATAAGAAAGGCATGATCTGCCTTAGGCTGTACAGACGATGAACATTTGCCTCGGTCTATCGAAAAATTCCCGAGATCTCGACGCGTTCACAGATTCACGAAGATTTCCCGCGAGGGAAAGAAAGCAGCCGAGAGAAACCGATAACGGTTCGCCGAGCATGGCGACAATGACCGGAAGAGCCTCGGCTGTTCCGCGATGAAAACGGACGTGTCGGAGGTGAGATGGTACCCGTGTTACTCGGTATGAGAGCAACATCGTACCGTTTAAGCAAAATTTTACCGCATTCGCGTACAGATACAACGGCGAAAAGAGCCAAACCGGGTACACGTAACTGGAAAATACAGTGATCCAATGGTGAAACACGTCCGATCTGTTCGTTCGCATTGTCCGTTGGAACGCACGCTATACGCCCGTCGAAGAGACGAAGAAGATGTTGTCAACCATCAACATTTTTGATCGTCGACGATTGCGATCCGAGGAACGATACAAATGCTTCCATATCACACGTCGTAAATATTAGGCCGGCCACACACGTTCGAGTAAACTTGTCAAGTCTGCACAAACCACTTGTGCAAGTTTACTCGATAAGTTTTACTTGAACGTGTGAGACTGGGAGGGCCCTTAGGATATCTTTCACTAATCATGGCTAAAAATAAGTTAAACCTTCCTTGATTAAAACTTAACCATTAGTTGTGAAACTGGGCCTAAATGAGGTCCGTGTAACTGTTGTAGTTAACTTAAGGTTGGTGAAAGAGACCCCTTAGTCACAAGTCGGGACAAAACAGTATCCTCAGCAAAAACAGGCGAAAGAACGCGACTTTAAGTAGTAGTTGCGTGGCTTTAAGTTAAAGCCTACTTGAGGCGATCTACAATTCGTGTCAGAATTCAGGATAAAATTCTGTTGATAATTTTATACATCATATACAATACGAAAAATGTTTTGTAGAATATCAGAATGTTATATACATACATAAAATACACGCGTAGAAAGAACGGTTTTGCTTTATAAAATTTTATTAATTTAATTAAACCTACAAATTTAATTAGAAACAGGTCTAAAAATTATTTTGTTAGACGAAAAAATAATTATGGACATTTAAACTGATTTCTAAAGTGTCACAACTTGTGCTGCATTACTCATCACACTTGAGTTCCCTTATTTAATTACATATTTAATTATTTTGATAGTCTAATAAAATTATTTTCCGATCTGTAATCTGTGTCCGCACCTAAACTTTTAAACTTTATTTCGGCGCAAAATTATTTTTTCCTATTAAGCACGTGAAATAACATAATAAATAAAATTATAATATCAAATAACATAAAATTAAATTAAAAATAAAATTTTATCCCACAATCTGACACCAATTATAGCGGATTTTGGATGATAGTTTCGCGATATCGCGACGTATCGATCGATGACACTCACCTTACTCGGGATGAGAAGACGGAGCTCATCGTCACCCTGTCGATAACGTTTATGAGGGCTCGTCGGACCCCCGGAACCTGTCATGGCGCCAGCCTCGGCTTCTCTCTTCATTATTCCTGAAACATATAGATAAAGAAGTCTTCAGAAAAGATTCGTTTCCTCGCATCCGTTGCATCGCATCGAGAACCCCATCTGACAGATGTAAATAATAGATTTACACGATCGAATCCGGTTTTTTACAGTTTCATACGTCATCTCCGGCACAAACACATAGCACGCGTTTGCCGAAATTGTAATATATCAATAGATTACCACCAACACATCACCAATATGATTGATCTCGCGTGGCCAATGTGATTTCTTTCACCGGATAAGTGCAATAAAAGACGGCGTATAAACGCACGTCACCTCGTAAAACGGCTTTCCCACGCCAGTGGCATCATTAAGGCGAACGAGGCGATTTAACGGATGATGAATTACGATGCCGCGCACACAGTCCACAATACGTGCTAACGTATACAGATTTATGTATCCATAATGTCCCGTGAAAAAAGGTCAAAGTCACGGGACCAAAAGTTTTTTTAATTAACATAGCCAGAAATGTTATACAACATTAATATTCTTAAGTTTACATTAGCATACTACATGCGACATGTCTCAGTAAAAAAAAAATGCACAACTATTTTAAATTATTAGGTGTAGTAAAAAGAAATCCGTTATTTTTGCATGAAATTGAATGGAAAAATAATAGATTTCTTTTTACTACACCTAATATTTTAAGCTATAATGGTATTACGGTTAACTGTTGATAAATGACGGAAATATCTCTCGGAATGATAAACTCGGCGAGATTAGAATTTAATTATTTCTACTTTCCATTGCCGATGGCTCTTTCCATTGAGACTGCTTTAAAGTAGAAGCGACAATTAATTCTCCGTGAGTCACGATTCTTTCCTATGTGCGTCGTTGATACTCATGCAGAATGCGCACCATCGAAGATTCATTGCACAATTAGAGATTTAGTTCTTCCGAAATGGCTGATCGTGAGAATGCCGGGATCTTTAACTCCTCGATTTCTTTTTCCAAAATACAATAAAATTCCTAATACGTTGATTTTCATTCGTTAACCTGATTAAACTTTCCCAACAGAATTCTAATAGAGTAACTCCGGTATATACGTCGCACTTCACAAAAACTTTATTTATTAAGTATTATTTACTATATTTAAAGTAAACGAATTATATCAATAAAAACTTTGTACTGTCTACTATTATGAAAAAAATATTAAAAATCCAAAATATTTATATTTCGTATTAAAAAATGATCTTTTTTAAACCCATGCATTTTTGCCGTATATCCCAGGGGTGGGATATATGGCTATTCATAGGAAGAGGATGGGTATGTATAGCTCATAAAAAATTTACATTTACAAATATAAATAAGATGTAAAATGACTCGATAACTTAAATGTGTTTATAAAATTTTATTAAGGAATAAGAATGATAAATATGTATATGAAGTAATAAATAATAATTACAATCTTCCCAGATGTATTACAAGTGTTATGACATGAGGTACATATTTCATGTAATGCGTTTATTGTATTTAATACTGAATTCAATCTGCGCACTTTGTATGCTTTGGGCATAAATCGCCTGTTAAAAATATCATATATTCCAAACAGATGAGATATACAAAAGAATACAAGAGCAAAGTACTTGTATTTTATTATACAATATGCTTTAATATTCCTCTACACTCATGTATCATGAAATAACCACTAAGTCTTTTGCACGTCTTACAGTAATCATTTTACGTAGATTATGTAATTTATGATGACGCTACTTAACACAGTGACAAATATCGATTCAACTCACAATAATTTTATTAATCTTAACAGTAAGAAATTGAAATCATAACACAATACTAATAACACAAAGGCATGTAACAGAGTAGTTGCGGAAAAATTACCCCCACTCCTTCTATTTTTTTCTGACTTCTGCGGCGTAAATCCCAGTGCGGCGTATTTGACAGAGTTACCCTATCTGGCGAACGAATGAATCAGCTTTTAATGCTTTTAAGCTGCTTTCTATACATTACAATGCACAACCTTCTTTAAAGGTCGTTTTCAAAAAGAGGTAAAATTTTGCCGGCATGTTTATCTAATTATCTCTAAAATAAGAAATATGATTTTATATTTTCTGCTATGAATCAGATTGCACTATCTTACAATATATATCCAACATTGAAACAAAACTTAATAAATTTTCATAAACATTTGTTTGAATAGAACCAACTAAATATTTACTAAATATAAACATATTTATTTGGTACAAGAACAATTAATTTAAATATCATTATTGTTATTGAATAAATATTTATTTACTATAAATAAATGTTTCGTTTGTACAACTTAAACAAATATTTATTAAAATTTAATAACTTTTTCGATGAATAAATTTTTTTTCCGTCATCTAGTTAAAATATATGATGCAAAGATATGATGCAAATGTACAATAGTATCGGTTCCCTCAATATTATAATTATGCATTATTTGCGTACGTATAGCAAAAGAGAATCAAATTTTGTCAAAATCAATAGAGATTATGTATTTAAATTGACACGATAATCGCTGTTTATCTGCTCACCAGTCCAGAATGTTTAATGTAACACGATTGAACTGCGAATAATTAATTACATAATCAGTCTGTTTGACGAACAGTGAGGCTAACCACACAATGGCGTTCACTGTTCTCAGGTAATAATACACGCGACATATCCTCGTGATATCACGATCACATAAAGCTTTGTTAACTAAACTCATATGCGGCCCGTGTCTCCGATATATCTGATAGACGAGTCATTCGCTCAGAAATTCAGTCGTGCGGGATTGTGAAGTTATCCTTGTTCTTCGAAGAGAGAAAACGAAAATATAATGCGCCGGAGTTGCCGACTACCATTTGTCGGCTTGTGCCGCGCGTTTAGCATAGAAATCGCGGCTACACGCGTAGCATACGGAAACATACCTGGCAATGGGAACACCGTAATATAAGATTATAGGCAGTTACAGGGGGAATGTAGAAACTTGCGCGCGACATATTTCTAACGAGGCGACGCGCTATGTGCGAGTGCATGTCTCGATTCTCTTATCATTGCATCGCATCGCATCGCATCGCATCGCATCGCATCGCATCGCATCGCGTTACAACGCGATGCGTCCTTTTCAACAAACATATCTTCTATGCAAATGGAAATAACAAAGTCGTGCCTTTCGTTTGACTTCTTTAATCTTTTTTAAGTCACAATTTTATCATAAAAATAAATTATAACTACACTGTTAGAAATGTAACCACGAATTTCCTTTACATGTAAACGAAGCTCACAGTTATGAACGAAATTAAAAGTAATGCATGATTTAACTAAAAATTAAGTTACAGTAATTACTATATGTAATGAACGTGTGTACATTAAATTTATGAAATTTAACTTTTAATAAAATTTTATAAAAAGTACATTAAATTTTCATGAAAAATACATTAAATTTTATGTATATGTACACAAATATACTTTTTATAAATACATTAAATTTAAATTTAAAAGTAATGTGAAATTAAGAATTCAAATTGTGTAACTTAAAATTTAATGAAATTCAAGAACATTTCTAACATTGTAATAATGACACCTTAAAATATCAATAGATAATATCTTTAAGTAAAAAAAGGGCATAGGAGTCCTAAAATATCACAATTTTACAAAGCTAATTTTACATCACGTTCCGTAACGTAAAAATCATTAATTTCGCCCGCTTTCAAACCGAAAGTCCATACGATCCGAGTACGTGGTCCAATTGTTTAACACACAGTTTCCTGAGCAATTCCCGAATTAACTTTTTCCTTTCGATTCTACACGCTTCCGTGGAGCGTAATGTTAACCGCAGTTTTAAACTGCCCGTGACGTGGCAGTAAAGAACACTCTTTGTACTTGGTATGCAAACCAAATATGCAAACGAAACGCGCGGACTGAACTGGGTCGTATCCGTTATACTCGAGACCGAGGTTGATTATAAACGCACGCGACCACAATGACGAAAGAGCTAAGCTGACTTGGCTTTAATCATCTTCAAGTTGGACAATCGCGATAACGATAAAACGCGCACCAATCGAATGTTTTGACGAATAAGAGAAAGAGCGTAAAGAGATAAAGTAAAGATAAAACATCGGCCAAAATGTTGTTGCCTCGTTTATGAAAAACAATAAAAATCGTATCTATGAGCGCGTAGGGAAAAAAAAACAAAGTTTTGTTTGTTAAAGTATTTAAAAATGGATACAGATTTAAAAATAATTTTGGACCGTATAAAATAATAGTGTACAAAGTAATTATATACTCTAAATTTCTTGCAGTGAAATTTCATTTCAAGAAAGTGAAAATACAACCTTCACTTCTTCACTTCTTGAAAAAGAGTGATAATTTTCACTCTCTTTAGAATATATTTTCACTCCTTTGATGTGAAAATTCAATCAAAAGGAATGAAAATTGTCACTCTTTTTCAAGAAGCGATATATTTTCACTTTTTTTTTTTCAAGAGTAGTTGCATTTTCACTCTCTTAGAGTGAGATTTCACTGCAAAAAATTTAGAGAATACACTTTAAAAAATGTGGATATGGATTACTAACGTAGTGTCTATATAACTCTCACCGTGTTGATGTTATAATATTAACACGAATATTCTTAATATTAATAAGATATAGATTTAAAATCCTTGATGTAAATATCAACATTACCATGGTGAATTTGAAACAATAAATGTTGAATACTGTATATTAATGTTAATATTAAGAGAATATGTAGACCGCATGATATCGATCAAAATCATATCCATATTTTTTTAGAATGAAGAGATTCAAGCATTATAGTAAGTAATGCTGCAAACAATTTTCTAGCAATCAATTCGAACGTCCTCGACACACTTATTTTAATAGTCCAACAAAATTTATTTTTACATCTGTATCTAGTTAAATTTTTAGACACTTCCATAAAGCGATTTTTCTCGTGCGGTTACATATACAGAGAAAAGGTTTCTTTAAATTAAACAAATTTATGCATAGAAATAATCTAA